CGTGAACAGTACCATCAAAATCGGTCCGGACTATTTTTCGGATGAACAGTGCTGCAGTGTCACCGGCCCATGCTGAATTAATTTTGGGCCCACTTTGGCCCATTAGGATGTTACAGTGGGCTGCTCGGAGGAACTTCGGGGTAGCCTCCTCCAGGTGCGGTGGCGATGGCAAGCGCCGCGGCAAGGCTTCTTCGGGGAAGAAGAAGCAGGTCGACCCCAACGTCTGTCGACACTATGGGAAGACGGGCCATTGGGCACGGGAGTGTCCAAATTGCAAGTAGGAGAAGAAGGCTGAGGCTCATCTAGCACAAACGAATGATGAGGATGAGGCCACTATCCTGATGGCGACGTTGTGTGCACTGCACGACGTCAAGGTCGAGGAGAAGGTAGAGATGATGGCGGGCGAAGGACCTGGGAAGGCCCTGAAGGCTATCATCCTCGACGAACCGCGCGCCCAAGTCCACCTCAGATGTATGGGTGCCGACAAGGAGCAGCGGTGGTATCTAGACTCTGGTGCCAGCAACCACATGATGGGCTCCAAGGCAGCCTTCTCCGAGCTCGACGACGATATTACCGGTACGGTGAAGTTTGGTGTCGGCTCAAGGGTGGCTATCCGAGGGTGCGACATCATCATCTTCAGATGCCAGAACAGGGAGCACCGCGCGCTAACGGATGTATATTACATCCCACAGCTGCGTTCCAGCATCATCAGCAATGGCTAGCTGGATGAGCATGGGAGTGAGGTTCTGATCAAGGTCGAAGTCCTCAGAATCAGAGATCGGGAGCAGCGATTTCTTGCCAAGGTAAAGAGGTCTGAGAACCGGTTGTACCTGCTCGATCTGAAGGTAGAGTAGCCAATGTGCCTGGCGGCAAGGCACACCGAGGAGCTGTGGCTGTGGCATGCCCGGTTCAGACATCTCAGGTTCGACGTGCTTGGTCGGCTGGAGAAGATGGTACGAGGGCTATCCCACATCAAGCACGGAGGCGAGCTATGTGATAGCTACCTGGCCGAGAAGCAGAGCAGGCTACCGTTCCCAAAGGCGGCCAAATATCGTGCGTCGGACGCTCTCGAGCTCGTCCACGGCGATCTCTGTGGGCCGATCACCCCAGCCACAAATGGTGGTCGGCGGTACTTTCTCCTGCTCGTGGATGATTGCAGTTGCTACATGTGGCTACAACTCCTGACGAGCAAGGACAAAGCGGCGACGACGATCAAGAAGTTCAAGATGCGCGCGGAGGCCGAGAGTGGCAAGAAGCTCCGTACGCTGAGGACTGATCGGGGCGGCGAATTCACTTCGGTGGAGTTCGCTGCGTACTGCGTGGAACAGGGTGTGGTGCGACACCACACCGCGCCGTATTCACCATAGTAGAATGGCGTGGTGGAACGACGAAACTAGACGGTGGTCGGCATGGCTTGATCCATGATGAAGGCCAAGGGAATGCTGACAAGGTTCTGGGGTGAGGCAGTGACCACGGCGGTGCTCATCCTCAACCACGCTCCCACCAAGGCCCTGGCAGGCAAGACGCCGTTCGAGGCTTGGTATGGGCGGAAGCCGAGCGTGTCCTTCCTCCGGACATTCGGCTGCATCGGCCACGTCAGGAAGACAAAGCCGATCCTCACCAAGTTGGAGGATAGGAACACACCGATGGTGTTCTTGGGCTACACGGAGGGTACCAAGGCATTCTGGCTCTACGACCCACGCGGAGACAAGGTTCTTGTCTCACACGACGTCGTGTTCGACGAGAAGGCGACTTGGGACTGGATCAGTCCGAGCACGGGGGAAGCTAGCGGTTTCACCAGCACCTTCATTGTAGAGCAGTTGGTCATCCACAGTGGTGGAAATGCTAGGGAAGAACTATCGAGAACTCCGGGAGGGGTGCCGAGCACGCCAGCGATAGAGCCGAGCACTCCTGGGGCAGTGCCAAACACTTTGAGAGGGATGCCGAGCACTCTGGGAGGAGTGCCGAGCACTCCTAGAGGGATGCTGAGCACGCCAGGAGTGGTGCCGGGAGGTTCTGCAGTGGCGGCGACCACTCCAAGACGGGTGCCGAGCACTCCCGTAGCGGAGCCTGGAGGTTTTGCAGTGGTGCCGACCACTCCAAGACTGAGGCTGAGCACTCCTGCAGTCGTGCCGAGCACTGCAAGAGTTGTGACGAGCTGTCTAGGAGTAGTGCCGAGCACTGCATCCGAGGTGCCGAGCACTCTTGGTGCTTTACCAAGCACTCCAGCGGAACAGGAAACTCCATCAACGCTAATCGAGTTCGCCTCACCCCCAAGTGACATCACTGAGTTCGTGGATGCCTACCACGAAGGTGAGGAGGTGCGGTTCTGTAGGCTGGACGACATCGTCGGCGACACAGGACCCTCAGGCCTGGCGGGTAGGCTGCTTACCAAGCCTGACCTGCTACTCGTCAGTGCTGAGGAACCACCCACGTTCACGCTAGCCGAGCGCGATGGAAACTGGCGACGGGCGATGCTGGAGGAGATGAAGGTGATCGAGAAAAATGAGACATGGTAGCTCGTTGATCCACCTCTAGGATGTCGTTCGATCAGCCTAAAGTAGATGTACAAAGTCAAACGGGATGAGCACGGTGCCATTGTCAAGCACAAGGCGCACCTCGTGGCCCGAGGCTTTGTACAGCGTGAGGGCATCGATTTTGAGGAAGTCTTTGCGCCAGTAGCATGCATGGAGTCTGTTCGTTTGCTCCTAGCTTTGGCAACAGCAAAGGACTGGCGCGTCCATCACTTGGACGTTAAATCGGCCTTCCTCAACGGCGACCTGGCAGAGATGGTCTTCGTTAGGCAACCTCTAGGTTTCACCGTCAAGAAAGAGGAGCACAGGGTGCTCCGACTGCGCAAGGCGCTCTATGGGCTGCGGCAAGCCCCGCGAGCGTGGAACGCCAAGCTTGATGCCATGCTGGGCGAGCTTGGGTTCACACGGTGCGCAACAGAGCACGCGCTCTACACGCGGCGACGGGGAAAGGAAGAGCACGTCGTCGGCGTGTATGTGGACGATCTGATCGTCATCGGCGTGTGTGCGGAGGACATCAACAGCTTCAAGTGCAAGATGGCGGCTCATTTTCGAATGAGCGATCTCGGGGCGCTCACCTACTACCTTGGCATCGAGGTGAGATAGGGGAGGGAGACACTCACGCTCGGTCAGAGCGCGTATGCCTCGAAGCTGTTGGAGCGGAGTGGCATGACTAAGTGCAAGCCATGCGTGACTCTAATGGAGGAGCGGCTGAAGCTGAGAAGGCCAGCACCGCGGTGAAGATGGATGCAACACTCTACCGGAGCATCGTCGGTGGTCTGCGCTACCTAGTCCACACGAGGGCAGACATTGCGTTCACTGTGGGCTACGCCAGTCGCTTCATGGAGGATCCCAGAGAGGATCACTGGGCTGCAGTGAAGCGGCTACTACGCTACATTAAGGGGACGGTGGATCAGGAAATCGTCTTCCCCAAGACCGGCGGAAGTAGGCTGCAGCTCACTATGTTCAGCGATGCAGACATGGCGGGGGATATCGAAGGACGATGAAGCACCTCTAGTGTGCTCGTCTTCCTCGGGTCAGCTCCAATTTCATGGCTGTCGCTGAAACAGAAGGTGGTGGCGCTATCTACGTGCGAGGCATAGTACGTAGCGGCGGCTATAGCGGCGTGCCAAGTTGTGTGGCTACGTCGGCTGCTGGGTGAGATGACCGGCGTGGAAGCTCACCCATCAGCACTGATGGTGGACAACCAGCCCGCCATCGCCCTCGCGAAAAATCCGGTTTTGCACGACCGGAGTAAACACATCGACGTAAAGTTCCACTTCCTCAGGGACTGTCGATGGAGGGCAGATCGTCATCGAGTTCGTCTAAACTTGTCGGCAACTCGCAGACGTCCTCACCAAGCCGCTCGGACGTCTTCGACTCATGAAACTGAAGAAGATGATCGGCATGGAGGGGGTACAAGGGATAACAGTAGGATTAGGGGAAGATTGTTAGATAATCTACCGTTCCCTTGTATGAACGCACGGTAGGGGAAGAAGGCGCTGAAAAGGCCCCCTGCCGTGGTACTGTAGCCATTGTAGAGACAGACGCTGAACGGCTCACCTGCCGGACTATAGCCACATGCAGGGACAGGCGCAGAAGTCAGTCCTGCTGTGTTATCTAGTCACTATTACAGCAGGGCAGCTGTACTAGGACTAATGGATATAGTTATATATATAGTTTGCCACTGTAACTCAGTAAAGCAGTGAGTTCAAATTTACCATCTTCTTTGTAGGGCTCCGACCAACGCTGATGTTTTATACTGTGTGTATGCTCTGTTCTCCTTTCTTCTTCTACCTCTAGCCATAGTGTGTGTGGACAGACAACGCTTCTTCGTGGTCGGCACGGCTAGTGGGTGCTCGACAACACTAGCGGGTGCTCGACAAGACCGATAAGTGATCAACTCATCTGAGCCGATGATCCTGTCGGCCAACGGAAGGGGATATATATGTGAGCTTTACCGGTTTGAGATTGGCGACCATGTCTGGATTTGGCACTGCATTGCCACACTCTCTCAGCACCTCCTCCCTCAGCTTGTGTTGCCACTCGGGGTACCTGCTAAGCAGGAACATGGTCCAGGTGAGGAGGTGCGAAGTGGTGTCCTGCCCTGCGAAGAAGAAGGTCTTGCACTCGTCCACGATCTCCTGCGTGGCGAGCATCTGGTGCCCTTCTTGCTCCAGAGCGCGCGCTTCGAGCATGAGACCGAGGAGATCGTTGCCGTATCCACTGTTGTCCTTCTGAGCAAGGCGCCCTTCGATTATCGCCATGAGCATGCTCCTCACCTTCTAGTCCAGTTTTTCAACTCGTCGGCTGCTCTTGCTAGTTGGCAATTTCAGTTTCCTTCATGTATATATATGGAGATGAATTTGGATTGAGTTCATAATTTAGTAGTACTGTATTTGCTAAAATCATTGCCTTTACACAAAGTAGCATGCATTGCATGCAGTCGATTAGTTGAATAATCAGTGTTTACCTTAGACGACCAGGAGCTGGGATATCAAGCGATGCTGAGAATGCCAGTTCTTGGAGCTCCTTCTGTGCGACGAACACCTCTTTGCCCTCCTTGTAGCTGCTCCCGAAGGCCGTGTGCGCGATCACATCCGAAGTCAGCTCTGAGAATTCACTGCTTAGTTCAATTTCAGCCTCATGGTTGGTAGCCTGCAGTATTTGACATTGCCATTGCTGCATCATATGCTGCGCCAAGTCCGCCATGACCACGGACATCGCCTGCGACATGATAATGCAATTATGGTTTTTTAAAAGAGATAAATTCTGCTTTTAAGAAAGCAAAATGTCGATACAGGATTGGGGATACGAGTTTAAAAAGGAAATCAAGTCAGCACTAATAATGCAATTATGTTAAATAAGTCAAGGAACTAAGGGACAAAATAAACTTAACCTAAAGAAAGCACTATATAAATCATTATGGAGTAATTAGTAATCACATTGTATTTGTATATGCAGTGGATCAGGTATGCTTAATCAGACATCCAACAGACCTTGAGCTTGTCGAGGTTGAAGGCCGGGTGCACCACCTTGCGGTGGCGTTTCCAGTCTTCGCCGTTGGTGAGAACGAGACCCTTGCCAAGGAGTGCCTCCGTGTTGGGGTTCAAGTAGTCCTTGGGGAACAGACCTGTCCTCTCCGTGAGCACCTGCTTCACCAGGTCCACCTCGGCGACGCAGATGGTCGGCACTGCGCCGAACCAGTACAGAAATGTCTTCCCTGAATGACAGACACACGCACATATATATATAATGCAATCAGGAATCAGACTGTCAAAATATCCTATCATTCGACTGTCAAAACGAACATCACTTGCTAATTTATATACTGCATATAATATAATGTACATTACATATGCTGCACGATGGGGATGAAGTCATGGGAGCCGACGTCGAGGACGATCTTGCTCCCGGCGGCTTTCATCCGCTTGATCTACGGCAGGAAGCCGACGAAGAACCTGTAGCTTGGGCTCCCGACGCCCTGGCCCCTAAACCACCTGCTGACAGCATAGGGCTTCCACACCAGAAGGAACATCACTCTGATCAGCAGCGTGGAGACAAGCACGGCCAGGAGGGCACCCAATACTGAACCGATGGAAACATCCATTTTTTGATCTGCTGATAGATGCGTTTGCTTGTCTGGCTGTGTACGTATGAATGATCGAGCTGAAGATGTATTGGTTGTGTTGCAGCGTGGTTTGATCCATGGAGTGGAGACTGAAGAGGTGTATATATAGGATTGGGAGCAGAGGGCATACAGCGCCACACGGCTAGTTCCTGACTTGTTTAGCTTATATTGTTATTATTTGGCTTTGTGCCATGCTGAGAACAGAACTGACGTCATTACTGAAGATTGAGCTAGGGCTAATGAACCACGTGCATAGCCAGCAGTACCAGTGACAGCTCTTCTAGAGAAAGTGACCAGCACTGCCTACTTGCCTACTATGTACAGTACGTACTTGTTTGATGAGCTCACAACTGATGACAGCGAATTGCATCGCGCCTGCAATTGGGCGTCCAAGTTGACCTGTCCTGGTATGTGGAGGCACCACTAGAAAGCAGACAGCCTTTAATTTCTAGAAAGGCACAGTAATCTGCTGGATCCTTTTCTTATTCCGGCTGAGCTCTGCATGTCTCTGTCAAAGTGAGCACACCTGCTGCTTCGCCTGCATTTTTGCGGGCTGGGCCGCCTCTCGAAAAATATCCAGACTAATCGGGTCTAAAATGGGCACGGGCTGCGGTCTACCCGAAACACACGTAAGAAATTTTATTACGTGTATAATATAGCCTCTCTCCGTTTCAAAATAAACGTATATCTCGCTTTCCAAAAAGTAAATTTTTTTAAAGTTTAACCAAATTTATATAAAAATATACTAATATTTATGATGTATAATAACTATCATTATATTGAGTATGGACTGCATAATAAACTTATTTGGAGATATAAATGCTGATACTATTTTCTATAGTTTTAGTCAAACTTACCTCAAGAAACGGGATGTGCATTTATCTTGGAGCGGAGAAGTATATCTACCTTAGAGGAGCATTCTAACCTAGACTAGCAGTTATTTTGATGACAGCATGGGATATATCCTCGTATTTAGAAGTTTACCCTTGACTTGCTTTTTTACTTACCACATTTAAGCTTCCATATTGTTCTCTTATACTCCCTCTGTTCCAAATTATAGTTCGTTTGACTTTTTTAACCTCAAGTTTGACCACTCGCCTTATTCAAAAAATTTGTGCCAACATAGTCAAATTTAAGTCATTCTTGAAGAACTTTTGTTAATAAAGCAAGCCACAACAAAAGAAGTGATATTTTGCACAAATTTTTGAATAAGACGAGTGGTCAAACTTGAGGTCAAAAAAGTCAAACGAACTATAATTTGGAACGAATTTAGTATAGTATTTACCTTTCCTATGTTAGCATAGGCTAGTTGATAGCAAATTGGTTCTAGATTGCATAGCCCGGATTTTGGTAGGTAGAGCACGCTAGAAGAAAATTAAGATCACATCATGCTATACTAATATATGGTTTTTCTAGTGAAATTCAAGTAGAGCCGGAGCACTACTACATCAAACTTAACAGAGGTGGTCAAAACACATTTTGTGAGGCGGACAAGCAGTCCGCCTAGAAGTTAACGCCAGCATTAAACCAGATTAGCGGAGGTGGACAAATGCTCGCCTCTGAAAATAAATTAAAAAAACAAAATAAAAGAGAAGCCCTCCACGAGCCCGCTGAGCTCATCAACGGCCCCACGGCCTCCAAGATCCGCCGCTGGGGCGTGACTGCCTGCATACGCCGCCAGGGGCGCACTCGCCCTTGATCCGCCGCCAGGGGCGCAGCCTCCCTAGATCTGCGACTAGGGGCGCGCCCCCTGGATCCGTTGTCTGGGCGTGGCCACCTGCCTTTACCCGCGGGGAGCGCGGCCCCTAGATCCATCGCCGCTCGATCGGCCGGAGCACGCGATGCCTGCTGCAGGGGCGCCCGCCGCCAGGCCCTCATTGCCGTGTGCCGAAAGAGGTGAGGGAGAGATGAGAGAGACATACATGATAAGAGAGAGCTGACGGGTGAGGGGGATAGAGAGAGGATTTGGAGGCTAGGGTTTCGTTTATTTATATGGTGCGGCCTAATTTCGGGCCCAAGATGGGCTTCTAGTGGGCTCGGCTACATTAACATAGGTGGGCCTCTTAAGAGGTCCGCCTCCGAAAATGGCTCGGAGACTGACCTTTTAAGAGGCCACCTCTATAAATCTATTTTAGGAGGCGGATAATTTTTTATCGCCTCCATAAATCCATTTTAGGAGACGGGCAGTTCTTGATGGTCTCCGTAAATAAAATGTCCACCTCCAAAAATGCTCAGGTATTTTAGCAGACGGTTGGATTTTGTGACCGCTTTCATTAATGGTTGGGCAGTGTCTCGCAAAATGATTTATGTAGTAGTGTAGGTTTAGATTTTTAAAGACTCAACCCACCCCTCTCCCCATTGGGTCTTTGGCCTCTTGGACTGGACTCGAGGTTCCCTTACATGAGCAATTTACATAAAAGATTTAGGGATATCTTTAGACTATTTTCTAATTCTTCTTGTGGGTAACTTTTTAGAGTATCTATTGGGTACTAGTGTCAATTATGCTTAAAACAATCAATTGAGTTAATGAACATATGTTTCTCATTTGTTGTGAATTTATAGGATTTATCTTCTATTTAGTGCATCTCGTGAAGATTAATGCTTCATTAAAGTATCTTTAAATGATAGATTATAGTAAGACAATATGGATGTGGTTGTTTGTCTTCTAAAGGCCTGGTGTTGGGGTGTTAGGTCGTCCACAGCATGTGCTAAGAGGAGGGAGATCATTTGGGCACCGCTCCTCCAGTTGCAGCCAACGATGCCAATTCCTATGAAAGCCAGAAAATCTAATCATAGGTTTAGTGAAACCATCAATTTCATGTTACAAATGTTGGTATGTTTTTCTATAAACTTCGTTCAAGTTAGATGCATTTAGTTTATAGAACAAAGCTAACGTTACATATAATGTAGAACAGATGAGTTAATGCCTCTTTGAACCTATTCTAGTACAATGATTAAGCAACCACCATTATTTTAGTGAGCTTCTCGAAATGGCAGTGCTACCTACGTCATATCTGATCTCACCGTCAGGCAAGACGAGCCAAAGTTAGGAACCACCCGGGGTGGCTCTGCTGCCCTTGCTTGATTGCACCAAGCAGGCTTGACGGAGACGTGATGTTAAAAACATAGTATCGTCTAGAACATCGGGCCTTATATAAAATTTAGAACATTAATAACTTCTAACTATTAGATTTGTCAACGTCGATCTTTATGATCACATTTTGACCATCAATTTCTCCTGTAATAGATAATAATCGATGACAACAAAAATATCGTTAGAAAGTAACTATTCTTAAATACAAATATAATATTACTTCTTCACTTCCATTTTATCTGGCGCAAGTTAGAATGACACGGTCTCCTAAATTATATTTTGGTCATTCATTTGCTTTATATTATATTTATGCTTATAAATTTATAATCATTGGATAGTATAATTCTTTATAAAACTAATCATATAAAGTTTGTATTATAATAATTAAAAATTATTAGCCTAATTATTGATTAAAGTTTTTAAAGTTTGAATCTTGATATACGTGTGCGCCAGATAAAATGAAACCGAGGTGGTACTAGTTTTAAACTATGTATATGATTAGTTCAATTGTTGATTAAAGATAGCAAAGTTTGAATTTTGAAACAAGTAGATGCTATTTCAAGAATTAGGAATTATTACTACCTTACCCTGAACAGTCGAGGCCATACCCTGAAAAGTCAAGCTTATTGCTGACCTAACGATATATGGTAGACTAGGAAGTACCCCGCACGTTGCCGCGGGAGAGTCACATTGTAGGCATACACTCGGAGGTAGCAGTGGACAGACAGGTAGCAAAGTATCTTTTGAACAGTTTCAGATTCAACCATCGAGGATTATACATTTTGATGTTGAAGGCCATACACAACATTTCATTTGAACACTGGTTCTTCCTATGAGATGAAATATCAGGGAAAGGTAAGTTCAGCGAGAACACCTTCACCTGTTCTGCGTCTGAGAGTGGAGTGAAGTGAATTTCAGAATTCAGCAGCTGTGTAACAAACTCAATTACAGGCAATGTCTCAATGAAAGTTGTCGCTGACATATCTGAAAAGTCACAGAAAGTAAAACCAAAATCCAGGAGATATGTGTCGTTAATATGGATAAGATGGAGTGCATTATAGTCCATGAAAACAGGAACACACATTAATCTCAACTATCGAAGAAGGTAAAACATATCGTACAACAACACCACTGCAAACAAAGGGATTGGCACACTAAAAGCAGGAACCAAACAAACATAGGCAGGTATCACCTAAACATGGAAGTGACATCAAAGTAAGGCTGAACATTTTTTTTTTTTGTAAAATAATGGTCGGTTTATGTAAAATCAGAATTCGTGGATGTACATAGGTACTAATACAGCATTGAAATAGAAATTGTGGATGCGAACAGGTACTAATTGCAGCATTGAAACACTGAGGATCACCAAACTTCTGAATAGTGTATAATTTACTGACCGGGGACAGTCATAAATTGTGTCATAATATATTTTCCTAGAAGAATTGTTGAAATAGTAAACAGAGTGCAATTCCTCACATCACAGGATTATGGCACATCAATTCAGTAGGCCTGCCTTTTTAAGAGCACATCTTATGGTGTTTGAATTCTATTTCCTTCAAATCTGAGATAGAAGCCTTCATACCACACATTAAAGGAGGAGGTCCTGATCTGATTAGTTGAGAAAAACAATTCAGTTGTAGAATATCAATAATGCTCCATATTTCAACATGAAACTATTTCCCTTCCATAGCTGCACAATATTCAGAAGGTTTACATTGGATCTGAAAGAGCAGAAGCCATCATTCAACAGGAACGAACTCGGAACTCATCCTCAAAAAATAAGTTACTTTAGCGAAACCATGCTTGTGTACCCATCGACGCTCAATATAGCTTCAATCTGGTACATGCCCCTGCATATGAACTTGAATCAAACAATAAGAATGTA